TGCAGGGTGTAGAGGTGGCAATCTCTCATGCTTCCTTCAGGAGGCTCAACCGGTCCATCGTCGGGGTTCTCAAATGCGATGCCATCTTCATCTTCGTCCCTTCCGTACTGGCTTCCGTGGGGGTCGTAGTGTGCCTTGCTCAAGTCCCAAAGTCGAATCGTTGCGTCCATGCCACCGGTCGCGAGGAAGTTGTCGTCAACCTGCAGTGTGCGAACTGAGGCCGTATGCCCATCCAGCAAACCGATGCATCGTCCAGCATTAAGATCCCAGACCCTGATCGAGTCGTCCATGGCCGAAGTCACCATTGTTCCGAAGGGTGCGTCAAAGTCGAGAGCCGTAATCGTATCCTGGTGCGCGCGAATTTCCCTAATAGCCGTGCCTGCTTCAAAATGCTCGTGCAAGATTGGCATCGATTTCCGGCGGACCACTCTTTTCTTTGCCTTTGATGCAGGTGTGCCAGCTGTTGTTGGGAGCTTCTCGTACACCGACTGTGACATGAAACCAGAGTCATCCTCACCAGCCAGGTCTTCCTCGGTCTTCGTAGGTGTGTTTATCGCAATCGACTCGGCTTCGTCGACAAGCTCCTGAGCGTCTTCTAACCGTGTCTCGACATCCATGACTGGAGCTAGTCAGTACCGAGCAAGTCACCTAAGAGCTCAGATGGTTGTGCAACTCACGGTCATGTTCCAGCAATGTTTCCTCCTGCTCCAAGTTGGCCAGTCTGTCCAGGATGATCCGGCGCATACCGTGCAGATTGGCAATTTTGTTGTCGATGTCACGGATCTCACTACTTGCCATGTTTTTCCGAACACCCAGCATCTCGAGCTCGTGCATCATCGAGGCCTTGTCTTTTTTCAGATTGTGCAGCGCTTGCGGTGTGCCGGCAGTGTTTTCCGTATCCTCCAAAAGCTTCCTGCCCCTCGATACCCGCCGTCGGTGCTTCCTACCTTCTTCGGTCAGGTCCGGGAAGCTCGCTTTGAAACCCTGGAAGAGGGAGTAGGAATTGTCACTCTCGGGAATGTTCGCTAGCAGTTCGTCGGGTAAATATGTCAGGGCGCGATGCTGGATCTCCGTCGTGGACAGCTTGGACCGAACCATGTCTGTCGGCGTCGTTTTTGCCATGGAAAACATGCTTCGTTGGATAGTTGGCCGCCGGAGCTGCTTGTGAACCTCGGCCAGGGCGCCATGGTAGTGGTGATGATTACTGTTCCCTTGCTCGGACAGAGGACCCATCAAATGGCTTGCTGTTGTCGTGACCTTGCGCCCGAATGCTTCTATACCGCGAGTCTAGGCACCGATACGACACTTTGGTCAATCATCCAAGTTACGACGGACAAAGTGGTCACGCGAGTGGCAAAGATCAACTTACAGACAAGACGGATTGGTCGTCTCCGGCGGCCGCATCGTCGTGGAAGCCATACTGGTCGTGATCCGAGGCGGCCATGCGTACGTGTGCTCTCCCGTCCGATGCGCGCGACAATGAGTGGCACAAAGGGGGAGGAGGCGAGGGAGGACGAACGGGGCGGAAAAAGAGAAAAGGTGGTGATTTCGCAGCTGGGCGTTGTGGGAACAGCTCGCTCCGGGTTTGTGCTTCTTGTCGACCGGGTCGAGTTTTGTCGTCTCGGTCGAGAATCAGATACGTATCCACACTCCAAGCAGTGATCCCGGCAAGAACCCGGTTGGGGACGCCTCCTGTTCTGGATGACGCGCTAAACACCCGAGAAGCTCCCTGCACGGGGCACACGGGCACACGGGACACCTGGGCACGCTAACGACGTACGAGGCTGCAAGATTTGGGGGGGCCACTTCAACTGTGAAGGATGGCAGGGGCCACTGATTGGTGCCCGCTTAAGCCACCCGATCTCTTGGGGGCAGCGACCTGCAGGTGCAGTGCACTGGGGGTCGGAGACGGGCAGCCTCGCGCTTGTGCTGCGTTGGGACGAGTTTTTTTTTTTTTTTTCTGTTCTGGAGTGCCCGCCGGGGACTTGTCCCTTTTCGCTGGGAGCGTCATCGGCCTCGGTTGTCACCCGCCCGCACCCAGCCAAATCCTCACGACCGTCAAGCTTTTTCCCCTTTACGACCCGACAATAAGCAGTCCGAATGCGTTACCCGCCCCAACCCGTCGTCCAAACTCCTTCTGCGCACCAGCATCACTCCCAGGGACTGGTCTACCAATATCCAACCGGCTTTCAATCAATTGACGACGAAATGGACTCTCTCATTGACCTATCGGACCCCTCCAAGGCGTTGGATCTGTCCCGCATTCGCTACCAGTTGATGTCGGTTCCCCCTCCAACATCCAACGCTATTTGTTGACTGACAACTAATACCAACGAACACACAGTCGTCTCGAAGATACCATCACTTTTCACCTTATCGAGCGTGCCCAGTTTGCCCGTAATAAAACGATTTATGTCCCCGGAGCGCTCAACATACCAAACAGCGAACTGAGCTTCATGGACTGGTACCTTTGCGAACAGGAGAAGCTGCAGTCCATCATCCGCCGATACGACTCTCCCGACGAGTACCCCTTCTTCCCCTCAGCCGTCCAGAAGCAGATCCTCAAGCCCCTACACTACCCGCGCATCCTGCACCCCAACGACGTCAACGTCAACAACCAGATCAAGGACTTTTACGTGGACAAGTTCCTCCCCGCACTCTGCCCCGATTTCGGCCGCGAGGACCGCGGCGAGTCCCAGGAGAACTACGGCTCCTCGGCTACCTGCGATATTGCCTGCCTCCAGGCCCTCTCCCGTAGGATACACTTTGGCAAGTTTGTCGCCGAGTCCAAGTTCCAGTCCGATCCGGAAAAGTACACAAAGCTCATCAAGGCCGAGGACCGCGAGGGCATCGCCGAGGCCATCACTAACGCCGCCGTGGAGAAGAAGGTCCTCGAGCGCCTTAGGCTCAAGGTGTTGACCTACGGAACCGACCCTTCCATTGGAGCAGGCCCGGAGAACCAGGCCAAGATTGACGCCGATGCTGTGGTGGCCATGTACAAAGACTTTGTGATACCCCTGACCAAGGATGTTGAGGTCGAGTACCTCATGCAGAGATTAGAGCCTGTAGAATAGACTACGAAATGAAAGACAATTGCTTAAAATCATATTGCTTCTTTTTAGGGGGGATTCCCTCCTTCTATTGAGATGCGCTCAGGTATTGCTCCACCGCCTGCACTGCACCCTCCCACTTGCTAGCCTCAATCAAGATGAGGTGGCCGTGCGACTTGACACCCATCTCCTGGAACGCGCGCTTGCTGTCCGCCACCGCCTTCTCCTCATTCGTGAACTGGAAGGAGCCGTGGGCCACCGCGTGCTTCACAAACACCTCGTCCTCGGGGTGGAAGTGCCACAGCGCCGTGTCCGCCTTGGCCTTCTTCCCCTTCCTCTCCGTCTCGGTGAGTGTCGACTCGATCTCCTGGTACGTCTTGGACAGGATCAGGTAGTGCGTGAACTCGTAGGGCTCCTTGTCCTCGACCGCGGCCTCGATCTCGTCGACGAGCATGCGGTACATGGGCGGCGCGATCTCCGAGGGCATGTTGATGAGCCGCTCCGTCAGCACCAGGCCCACCTGCGCGCCGCTGTCGTTGAGCACCCGCGGGACGGCGGCGGCGAGGGCCGGGTTAGCCTGCGACTTTTCAATCATGTATTTGGCGAGATCCGCCATGGCGGGCTTTTGGCTGTGCTCTTGGACGTTGAGCGCCGTCATGAGCGCGTAGGCGTCGTTCTCCTTGCCGTCGACCTTGACTGTCGAGCCGATGGTGGGCTGGGACAGGATGAGGTCGGCGAGGCCTGAGATGTCAAAGAGCGTGGAGTCGACGTCGAGCAGCTGGCGCAGGAGCGTCTTGGTGCCCTGGAAGTCGACCTCGGGGTCGAAGTTGAACCACTCGAAATCGACGTTGACAACGTCAAAGTCCTTGTTTTCTCAGTGAGTAGGATGGTCTCTGGTGTGGGAACGATAGTGATTCGTCTCTCACCTCATCGTCGGAGCTCTCATCGGCCATCTTGACATCCTCCGCAGGCTTGGCCTCGTCTCTCTCTCTCTTCTTTCCCATCTTGAGATATGGCGTTGTGAGGAAAGGGTGTATTGAGTAAGTGGTGGTTTTTTTCCTTTTCTTTCTTGCGAAGAGGCTCGACCTGTAGACAAATGTTTAGGAGCAAGACTTTTGGCAGTCAGATTGTCACTGCACCCAGCTAACTTGGCCAACCCTCACCGGTGAAGACGAATTTTTTGGTGGGGGTGCCCCTCACTAGACTGATTTGGGACGGGCCGGCAGACGGCCCCCTTATCGATAAGAGCGCCGCAGCCGCCGCCCGGGCTCCCGGAGCGGGTCCCGCTCCATCGCACTGTCAAGTCTCGGAACCTCCGCTTGATCAAGATCCTAATGTGGTGACGCATTCCTAATTGAACGATTGAAATTATTTTACAAGATCATCAGAAGTGTAGAGGCTATCGGGTTGAAATCCGATGTCCTTTGTGTAAAGCAGAAGACTAACAGGAAGTAACCGGGCTGGCTCAGTCATGCCAATGAATGGCCTTTGCCCTTTTGCCCTCCGCTTTCCTTATGCCGAACCTTCCGTTCAGTATAATTCTCCTATAAGCTGCTCCTCGACCACGGTACCTCTTGGTTTTGTTTGCATCACCAAAGGTCGGTCTTATCCAGGGGGTACCGTCTGCTTCGGGGAGCGATGCGGATGTCCCATGACGTCCCACGGGTGCTCCAACGCCATATTCTTTCTTTGCTTCGCACTCCATCTGTTTACCTATTTCCTAGCCCTTCCTTCCACCGGTCTTCCCTTCACCGCTCTCGGACCGTATTCATAACTCCCGATGAAGGCCCGCAACACGTCTCGCTCTGGTGAAGTGGAGAATCTTCTCCTGGGTTAGTATGCCTAAGCATCCCGGGATGAGCCGATTGCTTACTGACGCCTTTTAGGCTTGGTTTTATCTATTCACCATCGTCACATTGTCGGCCGTCTTCAGCGTTGAGGTTCGCTGGAATGGGGCATACTCGCAAGAAGAGAAAGGGGCATAAGAAACGAACTTCACAGAAAGAGAAGGTAAGTTTAGTGCGAATTTCCTCAGTTGCAGCGCGTACAGTGGTAAAAGTGTCTAACGAGTATTTAGCCAGATAATGAGGTCTCGACCTCGTCATCAAGTGCTCGCCAGCACGAGGCGCAGGATGACGAGGCATCTGCATCCGATTCCGACTCGGACTACGCCAACAACCTGGACCTAATTCAGGTGAACCTCAAACGCTCTCCCGCCCGTATGGTTTACCTCGTCGACCACATTCCACACGTGAATCCTCCGCCAGACGTCGTTACCATCCAAGACCCTCCATCAGAGTTCGCTTGGAAATCATGTCCAGGCTATAACATTGAGTATCTCCCAGCAAGAGAGCTTTTGGAAAAAGACAACCCGAAAACGATAGAAGACCCTGTTCCAGTCAAGCTTGTCGGTTTTTATGTTACCCAGTCGATCGATCCAAGCGACTAGAGGATCGATTGGCGGGAACATGATAACGACCACTATAGCTCGGTAGCTTCCTTGTTTCTCAATACATCCTGCGGCGAGATAACGATTCATAACATCTACAACAAGCAATCCATCTCCATGTCAAAATTATTGACAGATTCGGATCATCCTGTCACTAGCGAAAGTGCCATATTGGTTGGGGAGTTCAACCTCCACCATCCGGGATGGGGTGGAGATGGGGTTGCGCAAGTTGAGAAAGACGCCGAGATTCTTCACCAGGCAACAAGCATGGCAGGCATGCGATGCTTGTTGCCACCCGGCCTAAGGACTTACTCACGGCCGGCTACCGACTCCGGCGATTTCTCAACCACGATTGACTTGGCCTTTGCCGGTCAGAGGCTTGAGTCTCGGGCTCATCCCACTCGAGCGCTGTCAGTACCTGGATTCGATTCAGACCACCGGCCGCTCCACACCAGGATCTCCTTTGCGCCCAATCGAGACAAGAAGCCACGCTTCAAACTGGGACAAAGCAAATGAAAAGAAATACTGCAAAGAAGCCAAAAAGCAATCGCTCATGATCGGCTGCCCCACTATCCGAACTGCAGCTTAGGTTGACGACCTAAATAACGATTGAGCGCAGTAATAGGATACATTACTACTTACTCAAGCGAGGTCTGCATCTTCCAAGTCAGTTCCTATTCTCCCAATGGTTTTTTTTAGCTTGTTTGTGTACTCATTCTTCAGGTCCAGTAGACTAGTTGATCCCCCCCTTTCAACCCTTCCAAAGCCACGGCCAATGAATCGAGTTCATCACACTTAGTTGCCACATCAGCATTGCTGGGTAGGTTTTATCTTCTGAACGCATCAGCAGCATCTAATCGTTGAGCAGTGTGTCGAAGAGCTCCAGGTAGTCGTTTGTGTTTGGTTGCCCTGTATTGATTCGGGCCAGGATACCTTTGAGGTGATCCTCTATGTCGACGATCGAGCTACGGCCCGGTGTATCCGGTTCTTGTAGCAAGGCTTCTAGGCCTATGATCAAGACAGGTATGTGCTTTCCGGTAACTCAGTCGAGGGATGAATGATGCCAATATTCCTCAGTTATTCTTGCTCGAAGAGGGATCTGTCCCCCAGCCACAAGTGGATTGATAAGCTGGTGGAGGTCGAGATCCTTCAATAGCAACCACCACCACCTCGGCTGATTGCTGATGAAGTGGTGAGGCTGGTGCCCTGATGTAAGTCTACGATACCAGCCATTCAAAATCATCAATCTAACATATCTTCAACCACAAGGCAAGGCGTGCTCGAATGTAGCTTCCGAGTGAGGAGGAGTCGCTCATGGTGAGCAGTTTGGAGTGTGTAGGGATCAGGGATCAGCAAAGTCACTGCTTGACAGGTATGATTTGGAGCCGGAATACCAACTCTGTTCTTACTGATATCGGGTTGCTAGATGCGAGTTTAAATACTGCCATCTTCCTCAACCTTGGTGGAAACCATCGTCAGTAGGTTGTGTTCGAGCTTCGGGGTGTTAGCTGACTAACTCATCTCTGGGTTTACCAAGGTCGACGAAAAGCTAAAGTTTACAATTTCTGGGTTACTACGCACATGCTTGAATCGATCGTCTTCCTCCTCGGTTCTCATATGCTACTGTACGCTCTGGGTCCGGCCAGCCTGCGAAATACCTCCCACAGCACAGCACTCTTCAGACTATACGAAGTTCGACGTGGGTACTGATGGTCGACAAGCAAGTCCTTAGGTATGCAAGTGTGATCATCTGCATACTGGAGATCGCCTTGCAGGTCTCCCTTGCTCAGCTAGATAATGACTATCTTCATCTCACCACCCACTCTCAAGACATCGCACACCTAAAGAGCAACAACCAAGAAAACTCACACGCGGATACTATGGAACATCTCCCTTTCTCCTTGCCAACACATGATCATTACAGTCCCTCTACCTTCTTCCCCTGGGCCCCCTTCTCGGCTTCCTCCTCATCAACCCCTCCTACGCCAGACTCCTCCAGAGCACCAGTGCTCTTCGTCACCGCCAACACAGTAGGCAAGGCAAACACCAGAGCTCCCATGCTCAACCCCCAATTCATCGCAAGCTGTGCCATGGCGCTCGCCCGCTGGGCGTTGATCCGCCACGCCATGGCCCCGCCTGCCGCCTGGAACGCCTTGTACGCGCCGACCAGCACCGCCGCCCGCCCCGTCGAGTTGGACTGCGCGCCCACGAGCCAGTAGCAATACGACTGCCACAGCGAATCGTAGGCCCCGTACAGCACATACAGCACCATGGGTCCGGCGGCTGACGTCCTCGCGCCGCTGCCCGGCGCGCCCTGCGCGTAGTCGACGTCCTGCACGTGGCCCCGGGCCCGCCGCGCGTCCTGCCACCGCTGGAACCGGTACCCGCCGCCCCAGATGGCCATACCCGTGACGAAGAGGACGGCCCAGCCGAGGCGGGCACGCCCGGGGCGATCGAGCGCGGGCAGGTCGAGGAGGAGGCCGATGAGGAGGCCGCCGACCATTTGGGCGAGCCAGTAGAGGGCGCCGTTGAGGGAGCGGGTGCGGAGGGTGAAGGTCATGCCGTTGACTTCGTTCTGCTGGTACGAGTAGAAGACGTTGGCGCAGAAGAAGAGGGGCAGCATGCAGGCGACGCGCCAGGTGCATAGCGTCGTGGTCGTCATGGTCACGAGGCCCTTGGCCCTGGCGGCGAAGCCGGAGGCGGAGGCGTGTGAGCGATTGCGAGTCTCCTCCGCCTCGGTCACGGCGCTGAGCTGCGCGAGACGGATGCGTTTCGGGGAGCAGATGAAGAGGCCCAGGGCCCAGCCGAAGAGCATGACGGCCAAGAGGGCGATGTACGTCGCGTCGTTGACGGTGCCAGTGGTGGAGGAGAAGTTCAGGCCAAAGGCGGCGAGGCTGCCGACGCCGCCGCCGAGGTTGAAGATGATCCAGAAGACGGCGATGGCGCGGCCCTTTTGCGACTCGTGGACGTAGGTTGTCATTATGGCGCCCTGGACGATCCATATGAAGGAGGAGCCGATGCCGAGGATGGCTCCAGAGGCGATAACGAAGGTTCCGTTTGCGGTGTCTTTGGGGCGGTCACATTTTGTGAGTATTCGTCAATGGGGAAAGACGGGAGAAGGGGGGGGAGAACATACGGTTGAAGCTCAAGAGACTTCCACTATAGAGGGCGTAGGTCCAGCCTCCGATGAGGAAAGCGACCTTCGGGCCTACGAGTGACAGGATTGGGCCCACAAAGAAGAGGGACGCCACGGCCGTCGTCGAGAGGAGGGCAACGGTTGCGTTGGCCGCTACTGTTGAGTCGACTTGGCCGGAACCTCCTAGGCCGGTGAGGGCGTTATACATCTGTATAAGAGTTTCTGCGTCAGGATTTTGTGATCTCTCAGTCACACGGAGGAAGGGTTACTAACTCCTGGTAGACAGAAACAGATGAAGCTAATGAGGATGATTCTGTGGGCACACTTTAGCTGTTGCGACGAGGGTAGTCGGACTCTAGACAGATCCTACTGTGTCCACGGATTCGAGTACAGCCTCATGAGCTTGGAGTTCTTCCCACCCTCGAGATCATGCTGGACGCCGGTTCCGGTGTGTGACGCATCGTCAGGCAGCTCTCGAGGTTCATCGGCAGCCATTGTCGATATCCTGGCTCGTTGATCGATAGGGTGATTGTTTTTCTCCTCGTATGCTGTAAACCCGAGCTAACCATGTCTCTTTTATTGCAAGATGATTTGACCAATACCCTCTTTGACTTATAACTACTGTAACATGTCCTTGACACCTGGTACTTCCAGAGGCAGCATCGAGATAGGGAGACAGGCACGGAAACATAGCAACGTTGAAGTTGAATATCTTGAGAAAGCTTGGCTTGCCCCGCCCTTCCTATCTTCGAAAGTTTTCCACTAGATTACCATATTACCAACAAGCTTCCCTTGTCTTCTTGTTACCAAATAGGTTATAGTGACAGCATGTTTTGACAGAGCGGGGAAATCGCACAAGAGAAGATAAGCTGAGGATCCTCAATCTCCTTCTCCACATTATCCAGTTTTTCTCCCTCGCTGGAATAGGAGGAATTCAAGTGTATCCCACATTCATGCTGAGGGGAGGGGAAGGAATCTGGCAATAGCGTGAGTGAGTGCCTGGTCTAAGGACCTGAGGTCGGATTCGTGAAATGTGATTCGTTCATCCGCCCCAAAGAGGAGATAAACGGAACCTGTGTCTGCCCCAGCTTTCTTTATCCGGCGCCACCCGCCGGCACGGTCCTCAATGACAAGGATCTTCCCTGAGGCTCCGCTCCGGCCCTCTTTCTTCTGACGTTGTTGTATCCATGCACCCGTGGGATGCCCTGTTGCCGCACCGATGTCTCCGATGGAACGTGACATTGGGTCTCGGAGGTACGGACAGCACACGGCTCCGATCCAAGGCGGGATATTGCGGTAGTCGGATCTGGCGTTGCATCGAGATCTTTCATGGCCGGTGAGATGGCTCAGAAACTGAGATAACGTCTGGTAAAAGTCCTATAACTACCTAGTAATGGATAAAAAGTATGCCTTTCGATACCTCCTTCCATCGCAAATTACAGCATTCAACTTTATCAAAAGCTCGCACAAAATTCGAACGCCACTTGAACTATTGACGATACACCCCGTGAACACTCCACAGGAGAGGTTTCCTTTGATGTGCGACCACATTTGACGCGACCAGGAAAGAGTAGTTCACGTTCCATGCGGTCTGGCGTGGCAGCGTGAAACAACATACAACATGAGAGGGGGAGCGATATGGACCTTATTGAATCACCAAAGGCAACCATGCGCCACCTCTAGGCCCTGAGTGGGCTTCTTAGACCGGACGGGGTTTACTGGAACGTTACCTAAAGAAAGATTGATTGGAGATCTCATGCAGGCACGGACACGATGTCCCCTCAAGAAGCAGAAAATTCAGAGAAAGAGGCCTCACTCTGATGATGTAGTAAACCAGGTTCATGACTCTTGCTTTCCCCATGGGGAACATCAACGTTAACTCCAACGTCACATTTGGAAACACCCACCCCACATTCTGTACATTGTCATTCAGAGCCGAGCTGCAAGTCAATGACACTGAGCTAGTAGTACCCGAGCATTCGTTGAGACCACCCACCCGTGTTCCCGTCTCACACCGGAGTCCGGAATCCTCGGGTCCGAGCATCCCCACCAAAGATCAGAGCGCCGCTCCGTGGGGTAAATCTTCATTTGACGTCAAGTCACGGTGCTCCGAAATAAGAGGCCGGGTGAGACTCTAGCCGAAAAACGGCGAGGAAGCCGGAGCCGTCTAGGTCGGCAGCCTGGGTGTAGGCTAGACCGGGTTCGCGCTTGTAGCATCTTGTAAGTTCGATGAACTCGACATCCTTTTGATTTCGGATCCCTCTCACTGAGTAGATTTCAGTCTGCGGTAGAACACACCAACGCCTGCATAGTGTGCTGCAACCTCACCAGGCCCCGTATGTGAGCTTCTTAGCATGCGGATCATCAGGTCAGAAACAAAATCATGTCTTCTTCCCCACACACCTTCCACCGTCAAAGCAAGAAATGGAAGGCTCCCCAAGACAGGGGGGGATTTGCATCGCGTCATGGGATATATCCTCAACGCATAGCTCCCCCAAGGACGAGTTCACTAGACGTTGTGAGCATCATTCCATGTGCATACATACAAACGGCGGAAATACGCTTCGCAAACATCCCTCACCCAAAAACACGCAAAAACCACAGGCGCCGGGCCGACGGCAATCTCCAGCCGGTATGGAGTACTCCTTACTGTGTTGCTTCTACCGCGTCACCGCTCATTGGTGGGCAAATATTGACTCTCATGGGGCTGTTTCGGCAAGCGATCCTATTCGCTGATAGGCACAAACGGCCTAGATCAATCTCGCCGCCGGTTGAGATATCTGGGAGCGGGAAAATAACTTGCGCTCTTTGCGGAAGCGAGATGTGTGCCGGGTTATCAAGGGACGATATCTGTCGTACCCATGAACAAGATTGAGTTTGTAGGTTTGGACGGCTAGAAACGCCGACGTGTTAATTACCACGTAACCGTTTTAGGCTTTGGGATGTTGGATCCCGTGGTTCGAAATGGGGATTTGCCGCGCAGGGGGGAAGACTTCATCCCTGCGTCCCTACTACACAAGGGGAGGTCGCGACGAGGTCCTCTGCCAGTTGCGAGCTTCAGGCTCCTGCCACTGCTCAGACAAAGCGGTAAAGCTTTCGCACAATGGATTCTGTTCAACATCCAAGTTCGTGAGCTGGAACAAAGAACACGCACTGCGAATAGCTTCCAGAAACCAACTGAACAAGAACAATGAAGAACCATAACAGTGATACAAATAGCCCATGCCCTCCAGCTGAGAACCAGTAGCTTCAAATTCCAATCGATCAAGAATTCCTAAACGTAAAGAAGCGCGCCTCCAAAAAAAAGACCAAAATGTGTCAAGGTATCCAAACTACAATGTCCTGCGGCCACACAATTTTCACTCACTCAATCAACTGCGACAGCGTACACTGCCAGCAGCAGCAGCAGAAACCCCAGCTCCAGCCTGTCTTCCTCAACGACAGCTGCTCCGCTTGCCACCGCCCCGCAAGCTACGCTCAGAACCGCGCGCGGCACGAGGCCGAGCACGCCGTCCTGATGGGTGAGTACATGCGGGCCGATGCTGCCGGTGACGAGGACGGCATGCGGCGGGCTCGGCGCGCCATGCTCGAGCACACGCGGCTGCTACGCCAGCGGAACTTTGTGGTGAGTTTGGTGAGAGAGAAGGCGGGTGGGGATGTCGAGTGGCCTAGTCTGCCTTCCTGTGAATGAAATGGTGAGGTTATTTGTGATGGTATGCATGGAATGATCTTGGAAGTGAGACGGGGTCAGGAATTAGAAAATAAAATTGGACTGAAATTGCAAATGAGGGTATAGATACAAAAGCCTCAAGATGCCTCCTACACTAAATGCCCTCTTAAGCCTCGGTATGAGCTACAAGAATCAAAGACTGCCCTTCCCATAAACTAGGCGACCTCTTGGTGAACATCCATCTCTTTCATCACCAAGGCGGGGAATACTTTGGCAACGCCCCAAGCCGCACATCGCTCGGGCCCATGAACTGCGCAACATCCCACGCCGAAGGCATATATGGCATGTGACTCAGGTTCTGGTTTGGTGAATCCTGCCTCATCTGCTGCTGGCCAGCGTTCCCCTTCTGCGCCTGCACTTCCTTCTTCGCCTGCGTAAACTCCTTGACCCTGGCCGTGCCTAGCTTGCCTGCCCTTCTCTTGTCTGTGGGACAACGGAGCAGCGGGACCTGGATGACGGCGGAAAATATGTCCCGTATCTTCTGTTCCGGTTGGTTATGTCGCTTCGCCACCTCTTGGAACGGGAACATGTTGAGGCATGTGTCTGCGATGTCGACAATGATGTGTTTGGTCGTCGGTTGCGTGTCGGGGACTCTGGTTGACTGAGGTTTCGAGATGGTTGCTGCTTCTGGTTTGGCTGCTTGGGTAGGCGGCTGTTGCGTGACGTACGCCGGTGTTTGCGGGACTGGCGAAGGAGGTCCGAGATGGAACATGTGTCCCGCCGGCTGTTGGGGAGGAATCCCGGCACCGAGATGCGGCTGTTGCGGATGGACTGCAAAGTGACCAGCTGGTCCAGCCATCAAGGATTGTTGCAAGAGCGGGTTGTACATGGCCCCAGCCATCGCGTTATGGTACGGATTGAGTCCCAAGAGGTTTGTCCAAGGTTGCTGCAGAGACGACGGCGGAAGGGGAGCCTGACTAGGGGCAGATGTATTTGTGCCGTTTGGCAAGCCTGAGTTGACTGTCATGTTGGCAGCCTGCTGCCTCAACCTCGCCTCCACACATTGACGGCATGGTGCCTTTGCTCCCGACGCAGGGCGATCAGCGCAAGCCCCGGTCTGGATATCCGACGCGCCATGAGCGGTGTTGTGAACATCGGCATTCAGCGGGTTTGACGTATGTATGTTCTGATGAGTATGGGTATGGAAGGGGAAAGGGGGGTCGTTGATCTTGGAACTGTGAAGGTGTACCTGCTGATCCAAGAGATCGCGAAGGTCATTCTTCGACTCCGTCTCGGCATTGGAGTGGTTCAGCGTTGGCCCAGACTCAGCTGTCTGTTGCAAGATAATTGTGCCGTCTGCTTCTGATGCGGGCATAGAGTTAATCTTGCCCAGGTCAGTGATACCAGCTAGCATGGGAGCTGTGGAAATTGAGGGAGCCGTGGGTGTCTCCTTTGCAGTCTCAGCGTGGTTCTCGGTCTCTGCTTGCATCTGACTCGGCGTACCTTGTTCTCCTGGTAGTTGCGCTTGATACACATGAGGTGAAGTCATGGACGACAGCATAGCTGGCGGGATCGGCGCGGGAACATCAGCCACCGTTTCGTTGGTTCCGCTCGTGAAAACAGGTGCAGATCCATCATTCTTGTCAATTCCGAGTATGGAAGGCGAAATATGTTCGGGAAGTGATTTGGGAGACACCGGTGGTGAGCACTGTGGTCCAGTAGACGGTGCAGTCCAGAATGATTCGGAATGACAGGCCCTCTCTGGAGTCGGCATGGAGCATCCTCTCATCGGGTCAACGTCCGGCAAACGGGCCGTGGGTGAGTGATCGACCATGCCCGTGCTTCCCCGTCGTTCCGGCTGAGAGATTGGCTTGGCGGGCTCGGATGGCTGGTTGTTGATGGGGGTGGGAGTCCCCGCCGCCGGTGAGTCTGTGGTGGAATGTGGCGTGACCAGCCAATAGCCATCGATCTTCCTCTTCTTGACAGGATTGGAAGATACGAATTGGACGTCGTCATCCTCTCGTTTCGCTGGTATCACAGGTTGTGGGTATGGTGCAAGCCCTGTTGGATAGACTGGGGGAAACATGCCCAGATAGTGGTGGGAGCTTTCCATATCGATGAGAGAGTGACAGTGATGGAGGGGAAAAGAGGGAGAGATGGGTGTGTCTCGCGGATGCGGGAGCGGGAGCGGATGCGACATCGATGAGATGAGGGAACGCCGCTAGCTGATAAGAAAATGGCCAAGCATCCATATTTGAACCCTGTGCCAACCAACAACGGGCTCTGCTGGGTACATGTTGGAGTTGACGGGGGCAGCTGAGCACATCCAGTAACAGTGAGCCATGAACAGCAAAGAAGGAAGCCAAGAGAAGAGTGTTGGCATGTTGCACAGTTTGCCTTTGAGTCGTTCCCTTTGGTACGGTGGGATTCCATCCCAGCCTGGTGTGCCTGGCAGAAAGAAGAGGAAAATCACCATGTTTTGCGTACCCTGACAAGCACCTTGATGCCACTTTTCTCGGGTCCAGGATGCAGATTGCCACTTGGCAGGGAAGGCGGCATGTGGTGCCCAAGTGAGTAAGGTACCATGACTTCAAGGAGGTGCGCAGAGCTGCCAGCGCTCTCATCAATGCTGCTCAAAAGTGAAAGACGTTGAGACTATTGGGTCGGTCTCTTGCTTGTCTATAAAGTTACAAGCTCGGACAATGAAAGCGACCGGGGTCGTTCTCATCTGAGGCACTTGCTTCATTGTCCAGTCATGGACTCATTTAGTGTCTTCATGACCTTATCAAGGCAGGGGTCAATGACGCTGATTGAAATGGGCAGCACATGACAAGACATCATCAAGCCTGGCCTCCATGATAGTGCAAGTTACTCCAAGCTGGAATGAATCTGAACAGGAAACCTCATCGTAATGAATAGTGCTCATTCTGTCTACACCAAGAATGTTGTTTTATGAAGAGTGGTACATTGGTCCAGAGGTACAGAACACCTCACCTCGGTTCATGAAAATTACAGTGAGCAAAGTAGGCCCCACCATAGCTCCAAGCTACCCGCCTTGCTTTGATTGGTCACAGACGGGAACAGTCAGCATGTGGCTTGACTGTTTGCCTCAGCCTCTCGTCATGTTAAGCTCCCGTTCCGTCTGTGGACCATGCCTTCCTCACATCGCGGGGCAGCCTCAAGGCAGCTTCACCTCCACCACCGACACCTTCCCCGAGCGACGAACCACACATCTGCAACTGTACCTGCAGCAACAACAGCAAGCGCCACCGACTTAACCAAACACCAAGCAAAAGGTCTTCGATCCAGATCGTCCCTCCCTTGACCGCCTCGTATGGTCTCAACAATCGAGTAGAAAATCCGACATCCTGTGGCGACGGCCAGAGAAGCGTCAGCCATGGCTTCCTCCGACGTGAACCCTCTCATTTCGAACCAAAAGTCCTCGGAGCTCCAGGCAATCCTCCACCCTCTGGTCCTCCTCACCATATCCGACTACATCACCCGTCATACTCTGCGGTCGCAGCAGGGACCCATTGTCGGCGCCCTTCTCGGCCAGCAGAATGGTCGCGAGATCACTGTTGAACATGCGTTTGATTGTCACACGATACCGGCACCTGAGGTGGAAGGAGGTTACCTTCTGGACTCCGGGCGCTTCGGCGCAAGACTAGAGCAGAGTAAGCTCAGCTATTGTTCATTTTATACGCCTTCGTTGGACTAACACTCCCTAAGTGAAGACAGTTCACAAGGACCGAAGCCTAGACCTGGTCGGCTGGTACACTCTACTCGCAGTGACAGGCCCGACACCGACCATCCTCCCGATCCACCACCAGCTCCTCTCCGAATTCAACGAGTCAGCTCTCCTCCTTGGCTTTCACCCTGAGGAAGTCTTTACTCATTCCGTGGGCGGCAAGCTGCCCATGACCATCTATGAGTCCAACTATGAGGTAGACGACCCGAGGGCTGCCGAGGCTGAGGGCGAGGACAAGAAGATGGATGACGGAGAATCAAAGCTCAAGCTACGCTTCCGCGAGCTGCCATACACGGTAGAGACGGGCGAGGCTGAGATGATCAGCATGGACCATGTTGCGCGCGGTGCCGGCAACGCGACCGCCGTCGAAGCTCCCAAGGAGACTGCGAAGCCCAAGGTTCAGCTCGTTGGGTCGGGCGGCAAGCGTCGCGTCGTCGTTGCCGACAGCGCAGACGGCGACGATACAGAGGCCCAGCTGTCTCCAGAAGAGGAAGAGATGGTGGCCGCTCTCACGGCCAAGGCGAACGCCGTCAAGATGCTTCAGGGCCGCATCCGCCTCATCACAACCTACCTCGAGCGCCTGCCGGCCGAACCCCTTGCCGGGGCGGACCAAGCCGACGCCGCATCCGCCACCACAGGTGCACAAACTACACCATCTCACACCATCCTCCGCCAGATCCAAGCCCTCGTGAACCGGCTGGATCTCGTTGTTCCCTCTGACGCGGAGGGCTTCGAAAAGGAGGTACTCTGCGAGGAGAACGAGGTCGCCATCACGTCACGTCTCAACGACCTCATGCAGAGTATCAGTGGCATGCGCGACCTAGGCAAGAAGTTCAGCATCGCCGAGTCCGCACGTGTCAGGAACCGCGGCGGTGCGGCGGCGGCCGACTTCTCCAGCTACGGCCCTCCCGGCTTCAACCTCCCGGGCGCGGGAGACATTATGATGTAGAGTGGATAACGGTCGACGACTAGTCAAGGGAGCGAAGAGTCTTTTATGGCGGCGGTTGCGCGCATTACCAGCCTATCTGGGATTCATGGGGAGGCGTTTCGGGGATAATGTAGACATGACGACACTTGCAAGGGGCATGAAAAACCCTCGAAAAAATAACAAACTCTTTGGTCAAGATACACCAATGTCAGTGGGTTCCTTGAACCTCCAGTTCCAGCTCCATCAGTGAATTTTCATGAGCTCAGATTTAATCCATGGGTAGTCCCGGATGTGGAAGGTACTGCCTTAGCTACTGGACCACCGGGGCCTCATACCTTAACGTTT